TATCACACATTCAAGGTAAGTAAACCCAAATTTTAGCCTTAATTTGAGCAAGACTTGTGTAGAATGATTCTTGCATGTTTGTATGTGTTTGTATGTGAGAATTGTTGGCTCTTTTTGATGTTGAATGATGTATAATTTCCAGCCATGAGAAGTAGTGCTTGAGTATGTGATGAATTGGTGGAATTATGGAAGAATTAGTGGTGGAATTTTTTAAGTGTGGAGAATTGTTGAAAACGGCCAAGTTTGATGCTATAGTTAGTGAATTTTTGCTCAAATTTTGGTAGATTTAGAGAGATGTGGAAGTATAGCCAACTTAGTAGTTGCATGTGCATATGAATTGTTTGATGAAAATCCAAAGAGAAAATGCATGCATGCATGACTTGGCTAAACCCTATTGAAGAAAGGGTTAGAGAAAGGCAAGAATTGAAGTAGGAAGATTATATTGGGCTTAACCAAGTATAAATGTTAGTATTCAAGAGTGCATTTTGTTATGCCAAAATTTAGAATATCACTTGGTCATGTTAGCTCCATGAGAGAAATGGCCCTTAGTGCTTGGTTCTAGTTACTTGAACCTTTACTACTTCTTGAATAGCACAGGAAAGTGTTAGAAAAGAATTGCATGTTAAAGTGTTACTTTGATATGGCATTTGTGATAGTAGAGAATGGTAGAATATGTCATGACATATCATTATGCCATAATGAGTTTTCAAGTTTGTGTATGTGAACTTGGAAAGAATATCAAAGTATGGGCTTGATCATGCATATATTATGCATATGATTTATTTATATATAGCCTTGATTTGGTAAATGAGAATATTAAAGAAAATGTTAGCAAAGAAAGAGAAAAGAAAGAAAGAAAATGGCTTATAGATTCTTTTTAAGCTAACATGCAAATATGTATGTTTTCTCATTTACTAAAGAATGCAAGTGTAGAATTTCCATAGCTTGGAAATTCATTTAGAAATGTGCATAGTATCTCTTTCTATTCTCTTTCTACAACATGTTATATTATAAGATTGTTGCGATGGGGAACCCGTGAGTGATAGAGATGCAGAAAATTCCTACATGCACGCTGCTATCAGTGAGCGACCTTAGCACAGCAAAACATAATTTGCACAGTTTGTCAGCAATGCATGTGGATGAGGACTGTACCCAACAGAAAATACCTACATGCACGTTGCCATCAATGAGCGGCCTCAGCATAGCATAATAGAATTAGTACAGTCCATCAGCAATGCATGTAGATGATGATTGTACCCAGTATACACTCATATGGCCAAGGTTCCAAATCCATGCCTCAACCTAGTCCGATCGGCAAACCAGAACAGAAAAGAAAAGAAACAAAAACAAAATAAGAAACAAAAACAGAAAATAAAAGAAAGAGATACAGCATAAGAGACAAAAAACAAAAAAGAAAAGAAAGAGATACAGCATAAGAGATAGAAAACAAAAAAGAAAAGAAAGTTCTTTCTCAGAAAAGTTTATTATTCTACATATGTACTATGCTACTTACATGAATTAGTATTTCTTATGTGCTCAACGATGTACAGTTTTATAAATTGTCTTTGCACATTGGTAAGTAGCAAATCAGCATATCAGAAAAGAATTCAGCATATTAGAAAAAATTAAACTGAGAAAAGGAAAGTCAGAATATGAGTAACAGGGCAAAAACAGTAGTGCAGTTTGGTTTACTTACTGAGCAATTAGTGCTCACTCCATTATTTTACTATTTTATAGGTACTAGATGATTTACAGTTGGGTGGGATGTTAGTAAGCAGAGGAGTTTGGTGGCATTGTCCAAGACTATCTTGTACTTGTTAAAGTATATCGGTTATTTTGTGTATATATTTATATGAATTAAAATTTAAAATTAGAACTTTCGGATTTTACATTATATACCTATATGCATATATGTTTACAAAAGTTATTTAGTGGATTTTGTCATATATTTCTCAAAGAATTACTAGCTAGAGAGATTATTACATAACACCAATTAATCGTCTCACTACTCATAGACCAAGATTGGCCCCTAGCAAGGCATTATGGCCACCCGATAGATTCGGATTCAGCAAAATAGCTACCTATCAACGATATGGTTACCGTGCAATCAAAACCTTTCATCATTTGTTATCTCATCGAGGCTGAGGTACAGAAATAGTGTCAACCTCAGTTATTCTTGATATCTTTGTATTTAGTTATTAGACCAATGACTGGATTAATAAATTGGATTGAGCAACAACTCAATCCCATTGTGGCCATAGATTTGGTGTCATTGACATTTACTGAATTACGCAGTGAGATAAATTCTCCCATACTCGAGAGTGATGAATCATTTGTTGATCCACCATAGTCTTGATACACTACTCGATGCAGCCAATCACTACCATATTGATAGTTCTGAATAGAATTACGTTGGGCTAGTGTCAAACTACACCAATCGGTGCACAAGGCGCTCTGGTGATCTCAAGTCTAAGGATCATATACACCACCATTCATTAGAGGATTTGTTTCATAGACACTGAGGTTACCATCCATATGGAATCCTTAGTGGGTCTATTTAGTGAACTTGCCTACAGCAAACACCCATGTGTTACACCAGGTTGTTGACAAACAATCTTGACGAGTGAGATTAGTCACTCAACACTAATACTAGATAGACTTATCGTATTATCTATGTCCCTGGTCAGAATAATACTAGGGCTATGGACATTTCTAGAATGGCCACCACATGTGATCATAGGGTTTTCACTATCAAGATTTGAAACACTTCATACCCTTATCATGGTTATTTACATGATATAGAAGAAAATTGCCTTTTATTGATTAATAAACATTATTACAAAGAGTCAATTCTACAATAATTGATTGGCTTTAGGGAACCTATTCTAACAAAATAACATGTAAGCACGCCTCCCGATGATATGAGCTCTAGATGAATATGAGGCTAGATGATATTAAGTGCTTAAGACGCTAAGAAAAGTGAATTTGACTTTAGTTTATTTACTTTAATCATTTTTAACTCATTTGATTCAGCAATAGGTTCATTCCCATAAGATCTCAAATGAGAATAAATGGTAAATAGAATATATTTAAAAAAAAAAAAAAAAAGTAAGGCTACTCCATTTTGACAAAAGACCCACACCCAAGTTCCATAGCTTTGGATCCACTATCCCAATCATGATTTTCCTACCCCTAGGGGAAGGGTCCTTCCCTTTTTGGCCAATTGTGGGTGAGGTATATATATTCACACTTGTTGGACTTGTTGACCCTTTAGCATTAATTGTAGGCGATTTTGAGCTTTTTCATGTATAACAGCTAAATGATTTCTTTAAGTTTAATTCCTTATTGGGTTTAGGCTTAGGAATAGGAATCTTTATATTACTAGGTTTAGTTTTTTAAACCTAGTATATAAACACATTTTTCTCTTGTAATGAGTGATAGCAATCATAGGGCAAATTACTTCATTGTAAATGAGAGAGCTGAGACAGTATTGAAATAATATTGACTCTGCTAAACGTAGCCTGTTAATTGGATGAACCAGGGTAAATCATGCATTTTCTTCTTTCTCTTTACTGTTTGTGTTTTCATGTTTTTTGTTTATTTCGTTTTTCGTATATCTCTATTTCATTCAACATTGACACAGATAAGAGAATAGTTGAACTAGTATAGTGAAAATACAAATGGACATAGAACGAAAGATATCATTAAAATAGTAATTAGATTTTTTTTATAATTAAAAAATTCCCAACGTCACTTTGTGAACTTGAATTCGAAATTGGAGTCTTCGTCAAACCCTACAATTAATCTTTGAGAAGCAGGAAACAGTGACTTTTGGCCAGAGAACCTCTACCGCTAAACCTTATAATTAATCTTAAAGCAGGAAAAATGACTTCTGACCATTTAAATGCCAATACAAAAACTTGAACCCTAGACCTTATACGAGTAAACCACAAGTCTGATCGTAGGTAATTTAACTAATTATCTTATGAGTATGTTAGATGTATAAACAAATCTTATAAAGATTTGTGTACAAACTGATGTGACAGAAAATGAATGAAATAGTGAATATGACGAGTTTGACTTTTTATATTCATTCTTTTATTCAGTTTTTTGTCACATCAGTTTATACACAAATCTTTGTAAGATTTGTTTATGCATCTAGCATTATTATTAACTTATTAAGCACTAAGAGAAACTCGAGTGATGGAGGAAATTCCTGAATTCGAAGTGTATTTTTATCTTTCTCATAGCCATTAAAAGGTGAAAAGTCCTTGAAAAGAATTAATAACATATTTAAAAGTAGGTTAAAGATATATTGAAACCTATCATAAATCAACTCGATTGTATCAATAAAGTCTGTTAATTTAATAAAATCCCGCAATCTATGTATAGTTTTGGTTTCAATTAGTTAAATAATTAGAAGGTTGGTCCAAGATTTAGGTCATAGTCTTGCGACTCAATCGACTATATAGTTTCAGCATACTTTGATAATTTAATAAAAAGCCAAAAATTGATATTATATACCCTTTTATTAATAAAAAAACATTGTTGACATCGAACAATATACAATTGACATACATCTTTAATCTATATATATAGCGATGAATTTTGTTGCTACTGTTAAGCAAAGGAAGTTTGTAAATGTATTATTTAGAAGTAGTTTAGTTTAAGGGGAAATGTTAAGCAAAGGAGGTGTGAAAATGTGGTGTGTGTAAAGTAATCTGGGTCATTTTGTAATCTTAGCAAATTGTATAGGGTGTGCTTCGTCTTTTGCAATATTAGTAAATGCGGTAAGTTTTGTATTAAAAGAATCCAGGTACAAATAAGTAACTGCTTTTGTAACAAACTTCAATGAATGAAAAAAAATCCCCAATTTTTCGTGTTCTTTTCTGGATTGTTCTCTCTAGTGTTCATCGTCCTCTTCTTCATTAATTCAAGAAAACCTTCAGCTACCATCAGATGAAAGCAAATGAGCAAACATTGTACATTGCTAACTTCTATCAATAAATACATTTATAGCTAGCTATAGGTAATCCCGCAACCCTAAATATTATTCTTCTTCAAGTATGAATAAGAGACATATAGCTATCTAGCTTTCAAAATTCTTGACAATATAAATGAGAATGTCAACAATTAGTTACATAAATCCGCTGAGTAATAAAGAATAGAGGCTTATTAACTAACAATAAGTATTAATTATAGGTAGATTTTAGAGAGATCGAAAGCTTCATAGTGCTGCATGCACAATGTCATGCTATGGACCTCTCTAGCTATAAAAATTTTACCCACTAAACCGAGCTCTTCATGTAGCACGCCCGCCCACAATTGTGTGCACATGCAATGGTAGAATCGCTGACTTTGCAGTACAATAATTGTTAGAACTTGCTAAATGCTACTGGACACAGCTATATATATCTGTCCCAGCCCTTGCCTATAATTAAGCCACTACAGACAACCACATCCGATTATCCTTCTTTTATGATTATAATTGGGATAATTGGACTTTGCAGAAAGGACTATTTGCCAAATGTCAAAGTGTCTAAATTAAACCCATTCATACAGCTCGTTCGAGTCTTAATTTGATCGATCAAGTTATTCTTACATAGTATGGTGTTGTCTATTTTAGATCTAACCTTAAGATGTATCTTGATCTCATTCTATGATCCAGGACAAGATTTTTTTGTTATAAACTTATCTTATTAGTATAAACTAGATCTAAGAGGTAGATAATATTTTGGGGTAATTGGGACTTTATATAAAGGACTTCTTAAGTGTACAAATTCATACATACAGTGTAAATATCATCAATTGTAATGGTCGAGTTATTCTTACATAGTACAACATTGTCTGTTTTTTATCTAATTCTGACATGTGTTTTAATTATCTTTTATTAAACTAGATCTAAAGGTCATGAAAAAAAGTAGAAATGGGGATGGACTATGCTTAATGAAGTGGTTCTAGATATCATAGATTAAGGATCATTTGACCCCCCAAGAGTTGTGTTATATTGATTAATTATTAGATTTTTCTTGAACACAAAGGGCAAAGCCAAAATGTCTTTTTGAGTGGGTTAGTTAGTCAAGCTCACCTACAAGAAGATTCAAAATGGAACAAAACTTTGATGTCTCCATTGTGGATGTTGTTTCTGAAATGCATGGGTCCAATCCCTGCACCAGTCCCCAAGGTGAACCTAATTTGTCCCCGAAATTATAGTCCTTTTTTGTTCCAATCATGGTGTACACTAAGATTCTTCTTACTAACACTAAGGAAAGAGAGATATCAATGATCATAATCATATATGTATATTGTGAATTTAAGACTGTAGATATCACAAAAAAAATTAATATTTAGATCTGTAAGAGCTGTTTTAAAGAAAAAAAAATCAGTTTTAAAAGTTTACACGTCAAAAATTTTAAAACATCTACACCAGAAAATTTTCGTATAAGATCAAAGAATCATCTATTTGTAAATTCAATTTTAGCCTACAAAAAGTGAAGTATAAAATGAATTGAAAGAAACCCACAAGACTACAATATAGAAGTAATCAAAATAAGCAGTATGTACTACAAGGATCAATCACTTAACCTTGCTATATATACTAACACAAAATTTAACCCTAGCAGAGTAGTAAATGATATTCATCAATAATCAGTCATATATTAAAGCTAATAACACATTACATGCAGTTGAGAAATTAAGAACTAGCTAGATAAATAATAATCAGTGGTGATGATCACATAAAGTATATCTAGTTATTTGTATATTTAGATATAAATCATGCTTAATCTAATCATAGAATTGATTGATTGATGATTTACTTGAATGGATCGCTGTACTCTCTGTTTGCTTCTGGAATTGGGTTCCATTCCCACAATCTATCTGAGATTAAAGCTGCAGTTGGAAGCGAAGCTGTTAGTGTGTTGAGTCCCAGTGGCGCCGCCTGCACTTGATGAGGTTGCAAAGAGGAGAACTGCGAGTGGTGATTGAAATTATACGGTTGCTGTTGTTGTTGCTGCTGGTTGATGGAAGCTTGTTGGTAGGTTAATAATCGGTGAAACTCATCGAGGGCAGTGGCGGCGGCGGGGTTCGACGACACAGAAGAGGATCCACCGGGAAATAGAGTGGTGCAAGTGGGGACTAAAGAGCTGCATACTTGTTTAGACTGGTGAAGGAACAAGCCTTCCTCTTCTATTGATGATGGCAGACCGAGTGAAGCGCTGATTGGAGACACCATCGTTGGACGGTAAACGTTTTGCTTTGAAAGTCCAAGAACTGTGGTGACATCTGAGCTTGTACTTCCATCTGTTTCGCTCATCTTTTCGATATCAAGTTGCGGTGAATTATGAGACTGAGTTCCGAAAGTTTGGAACCTCTCCATTGCTAAATGTTGAGCTGCCTCTTGAGGATATTTATTGGATGGTGTAAAGCTTCTTGATGATGATGAAGATGATGCTCTTGTTGGAAGCGAACGAGGAAGAGATGGATGGTCTTCAACTCCAGCTCTCTTGTACACGCGACAAAGCGATATCTCGGCCTGCAAAAAGGGAAGAATTGAATTAAAGTGAAACAATTTGAAGTTGAAGGAGAAATTAAAGAAGTATTCAACCAGTTTCATGCATGTTGCTGTGAATCATTTGAGAAATCAGATAGTATTCAAATCAAAGCACAATATTGGACACTGAAAATTCCCATTTTTTATCTTTAAAGCTTCTGTTTTGTTTCTTGAAATTGTGCGAAAAATCATTAGGGTTAGAGAAAGGAAGAAGAATAAGACAGAACTGAGATTTTATGAACATATATATCTATATATCTTCATCATCAAGAAGTTAGAGCTTTCACTTTTTTCCTTCCCTTTCTTGTTCATTTAAGTCTGAATTATGGTGATTACCTTCTGGTATCGTTCAGTTTCATGCTGAGGAAGACGATACTCGTTCATAATCCAGCTGGTTCTGATGCCTTTAGGAGCTTTCCCAGAATAGAAAACTAGGGTTTTCTTCAACCCAATTGATCGAGAGCTCTCACTTCTGATCATTCGATCAGCTCCCGTCGCCTTCCAATAACCAGAAGTCGTCACTCTATTAGGTCTGTCACCATTTCTATACTTTCGATCTCTCGGCACATAGAAGAACCACTCTTTCTCCCCTATGGCCGCCAAAGCTGAACCAAAAACCATAACCAAAACCACATAAGAAAGCTATAAAGCAAAGCAAAAGCAAAAGCAAGATAAGAAAGAAGAAGATGATGATGATTATATAAAGATACATATATATGGATAAAGTTATGCCTTGTGGAAGAGGGAGAGTTTGTTTGTTTGTTTTTTTTTTTTTTTTTTTTTAAACTTGTTTATAATTACCAGGGAGTTCCCAAGGGTCATAGCGATATAGATCAAGAAAAGTAATGAGTTCGACGTTGAAACGCTTGCCCTCAACCTTACGGCGAAGGTAGAACTCGACCAGTTCTTCTTCGGTGGGATGGAAACGGAAGCCAGGCATCACCATGTCCTGTTCATGGTGATCATCATCGTCATCCTTGTTGGTGTTGTTATTGTTGCTGTTATTGTTGTTGCTCATGCTTGCGTTTGCAATTGCCATAAACTTTAAAAAAAAAAAAAGAAAGAAAATTAAATTAAATAAAGAACTTAGAGTTTGGGGTTTGGCCAGCTAGCTCTTTATATACATGAAAGTATTGTACGAATATTTGAGTGGTATATATGCAAGTGGTAGGCAAGATATTAAGCAATAGTTTATTTTTTTTTTAATTTTTGGTTGATTAATTAATTTATGAGAGAGAGAGAGAGAAGGAGGATGACGAAGAAGAAGAAGAAGAAGAAATGGAGGGAGTAAATAGAAAGATCTACATAGCTTTCAGGGCCTACAATGGAGGAGTTAAAGATGAGAAAAAGACTTGATAAAATATAGGACAGGGGTGCCCACAACCCTTCTCTCAGCGGTGGAATTGGACTATTCTATTTAATTTTCAGTCAAAATTTCATTAAATCTTTCTTTAACACTATCAATTTACAAGTTGCCTCTCTGCTCGCCACCTCCGCTCACCTTTCTACCGGGAACTAACATCTTCTCTTTATCCGACTTCATGTGTATACGTTCATCAAAGAGGCAGCTTGACTCCTCTGAACCATAACCCTGGTGAAAATTTTATAATTTTATTTCATTTATTTGGAGAACTGTTATATATAGGATAGTATATAGTAAAATACGATAATAATTGAATAGATAATTTTCTTTATTCCATTTTCAATATTTTAATTGGGATTAATTGGGTATATGCATTGTACCATATCACTAAACTTTCAAAGTTTAAATAGAACTTCAATCTTGCCATAAAATTTAATTATTCAAAATGTGTGCATCTTTTAAGTCTTAATTAAAAATCTACTTGTCTAACAATTTGAGTAGTACACTAGACATGATAAATTAATCAATCTTATTAATTAGCTTAACTTAATCTTTTCTATTAATTTGTAAATATTAAGCAAAGTAGCTATAGTTTCTAGTGTGTATATTTTATCAAAAAATAGTTGATTATAAATCTAGTTATAATATTTAAGCCGAGAAATAATATTATTTATACAAACTCTCCATACAAATTAAAATAAAATATATTTTGAATTAGATCTTGAAATATACCGGATGATATAGCTTTGGATACGTTTAGTTACACTAATATTTCGAAATCTCAATATTATTAACGAAATTAACCCCATTCTAGCTTGTACTTAATTAATGTAACATTGATTAATAAATTAAAGAAGGTGGTCACATAATCTATACACTAATACTCACATTTTGTTTTACTTTTCAAAGAAACGATTGATCAAACGTGCGCTTAATTAATTAAAAAATTTTAACTAATCACTTTCTAGTCTCTCAAGATTAATTATATTCGATAAGTTCGATGTGTATGACATTGCCAAAGAAGAATGTGTAATTTGAGAGCAATTTTAAGAGTGCCAAAAGTGCTTCTAGATAATAAAAAGTGCTTATTTGTGCACTTTATAGTATTTGGTTTTTTTTTTTTTTTTTTTTTTTTTTTTTTAGACAAACAAACACTTTCTCTAGGATATATCAATTAAAATTGCTTTCTATATAATCTCCTCAACCTTTTTCTTATTGATTTTTTTTTTACTCAAATCTATCAAAGTAATTAGACACTAAAACATATTAATTATATGGCTATGTTTCTTCTCCTCTCCAATTTTTATTGCATTTAAAAAAGTACTAATTAAGTGTATATGGCTTGTATATACAGTATATATAATTATTGGTAAATAGAAATATTTTTTCTTTTCATTTTTTAAATTAACAGACAATACTTTAGATATAAGTGAAAATTATAATTAAAATCTATATCTTAAGTGTAAAACGAATCCAATGCATTCTTTTTATGACTTTATCGTTTCCTGAATAAAAATCCTTACTTTGTCATTACTTTCGACACAGAATAACATAATCAATTAAAAATATAAATTAGTCCACTTTTCACATGTTTCTTCACAAGTATAAACATTAAGTTTAACATAAATTAAGATATCTTAATTACAAGATCAAGAACAGAAAAGATGATGCATGAGTCAAAGATATGCAGAAAAATAAAAAAGGGATTGCATGGATGTAGTTGTAGAAAACCAATTGGTAAAGAGGATTTGGAGGTAGGCGATGAGTTGGAGATGAAGATGATGAATTTCCAATTGCAAATTCATGATCTGAATTTTAGTTTCTTATGGATGAGTCAAGAGAATCCCGTGACCACTCCTCCTGTTCATGACAATAACATTCCTGACCTTTTCTTCATTTTCTTCTCTCTTTATTATTTTAATTTTATCTTTTATTTATTAATAATTGTGTGTGTCTATATATATATATATAGGATTTACCCATTTGGTAGAGAGAGAGAGAGAGAGAGAGAGAGAAGATTTTATGAATTAAATTTTGTTTCATTTTTATTGTATGTTTCTATCAAATAGAGCATTTATATAGTAAAGTTGTATTCAGGGTATTGAATTAATTTTAGATTATGATAATATCACATTGATCATTGTTACAAAGAAAAAAGGAAGTGAGTTCTTCATTGTGTAAAATCATAGTGTATATTTACAGTACTTTCACTTAAATATATAAATTATGTGGTGTAAAACTCTCTCTCTCTCAATCTCATATATACCTTAAAAATCATCCAAGCTTTCTTCGTTAAAGATAACGTTATTTTTTCTATGTTATGTAAAAGCCAAACCGTGTCTCTTTAGAGAACGCTCTAAATACATTAAATGGGTCCTCATCATCAGGAATCCATGGAAAATGAATTTGTGAAGAGGATAAAATATAGAAATTACCCAGGAAATTAAATTATTATTATTATTAATCCCTTTTGCAATAATTAATAATTAAAAATATTGTATCTCCACAAATGGGATTGGAATTGACTAAAATTTCATGGCTATTTGTCCTTTTCTTTTGTGTGGCCAAACGTCTCAAATGGGAGGCAAATTGTAAACAAATGGAGGAATTCGAGAAAGATCATTCCATTGACTCTTTTGCATCATGAGAGGCTATATGCAGCGCATAATATAATTATATTATTGGATTTTAGAGAATTTTCAATGACAAAGACAACCCTTAATCTCATCATTAATATTAATTAATTATCTTCTTCTTCTTAATTTATTTATTTATTTGTTATATAACTTCTTGATTTTGAACCTTCAATTTAGTTTATCATTAAAGTACCATAATCTTAATCTCAAGCCGATTATTAAGAATTAAAAACATCTCTTCATTTAAGTTTTTATATATCTTAAAAGCATGTGTATATTTATAAGTAAGATCTGAATATGATTAAGTTTTTTGTTTTAGTTTTTGTTCAACTAAGAATTAGATTATGAGAGAATTCTGATCGTTCACATTAGTTAACATATACACGCTAATTAGTTTGATCTTAATTTAAGCGTTATATATGGTAATATGACGTGATAAGCGGATCAAATACTAAAATCATGATGAGAAATGAAAAGAATTAAAGTAATAATTATGAAACTTGATAAACCAAATTTGAACTAATAAAAACAAGGATGGGAAGAAGAAAGATAATGCTAGAAGATGAAACCCTAAAGTCAAGAGAAAAAAATAAGAGTAGTGGGGTCGTCCAACTAGAATCCAATTAGTACGTAATATGATTTGGTTACCAATTTAGAAATATAATTGGGTATGAAATTACAGTTAGGTAATGTACTTAAACAAGAATGATGAAATTTTGGTTTATTATTTTCACCCACTTCCAATATCATATAATAAATATTTTGACTTAATGTTAATACGATTTGATTATTATAATATATTATGAGTTGAAACTATACACATCGTTTTCTAGAGGTCCCTTCATGTACCGACCATTTTGGCCTCCAACTAAAAGATTCAGATTGATCAAATTATAAATAATCTGATTAAAAAGCTGTAATCTCTTCAAATGGAAAGTTGTAGCTTGTCTCTCCCCCACCTCTAGAAGCTTTAATTTATTGGCTTGGCTTTTTTCTAAAATCCAAAACATTTTGATGGGAAAATTAAAATATCATAAACAGTGATGGTTGTTTATGCGGATATCAGTCCGAATAATTGACTCCATGATCCACGGAGACGCGTAGAGAAATTTAATTAGAGATCAGTATCCGTGACTTTGATTTGCTCACTTCTATAAAAATGTGAATCACAATTACTCATACGTAATATTTGGCAAAGTGAAAGTCTTCTTCCTTCTTCCCTAAACACATTCTAAGGTGGTCATTTATTCAAAACTGTTGAGTTAAATAATGGTTAATTACTATCGTTATCTCAGTAATGCATTGCATAGATCTCCCGTAAACTGGTCCATCGAAGTATAAATTATGCACTTCACATCAACTTGGCCACGGTTAGATATTAAATGCTGATGATGTTAGGTGAAAGATGATCGTCTTTTTGGGTGAAGGAGTTTGTATCTCTGAAAATGAGTCTGAGACAAAAACAGTAGCAGTTCATTTCATTTCCCCAAGTCAAAGGTCATATTTATACATAGATGTCATCACAATCAAATACTAAATCATTCTCACTTTAATTATGATTGGAAACGAACAGATAAACAACACAAGTACTATATATTGAGAATCCAAGATCGGCTACTGTTCTTGTGTGGAACCCATTAATTGTATGGGATCTAGCAGCGGCAAAGTAGGTAGCAACAGCATCCCAGTGAGCTCTTTTGATCAAAACCATGAAATCAAAATGGTCTGGTCTTCATGACCTCGTCATGTGCTAAAAATATCTGAGAATCGATCTGTGGAATTGAAGAGAAGAGGACGCCTATCTAACTAGTTAATCAACATCATACATTCATGTGTGAACGTCTTAAGTTTTTAAAATGAAAAATTTTGTTATGGGACGTTCTGAGTTTTTTTAAAATACGGACTAAAATTCCTGACAAGAAGAATTGGTTAAAATACAAAACTTCAATCAAATTTTTTGTATCGAAATAAGAAAAGAACCACTTCACATCTGGAACGCTGCCCTGGTCCGGACATATATAATTAATTCAATTATATAAATTTCTTAAAATGTAAAGATTTTATTTAAAAGACAAATCTAATCATAAAAAATGAATTACCAATTATACTTTTAATGAAATAATAAATGTATATTCTTTATGTATAATATCAGACTATACTGGATCATATTAGACTTATTTAATAATATGGTTAAACATATGCCGAATCATGTTAGACTTAATAGTTTACTACATTTCAATTATTTTTGTTCTTGTTA